ACTACTCCTTTTGCTAAATCCTTTGTAAAAAACATTCTTTCCTATAAATCCTAACAGTTAGTGAGTTCGAGAGCTTAACAAATACTGACCCTTTGAATAAAGTTATTTAATCTGATCTGTTATGTGAAGATTATTTTTTTTTTCCAGTACCTGGAATTGAACTCAGGACCTTGTGCTTGCCAGGCAGACACTGTGCTGCTGAGCTAAATCCCCAGCCCCTATGTGAAGATTATTTAAATACATTCTGTTTATGAAAATACAGGATGGTCCACTGGGCATATGCTTCCATTTTAGAATTGCTATTTCTAATTGTGAATAAAAAATAATAGAGTAAAAGTTCTCAATAATGGCTCCATGTCCAGATTGGTGTTTTAATGGATTATTTTTTCTGAAGACTGTTTACAAATGATGCCTCTGATGCATTAAGAAAAAGTACTTCCCTTAAATGGATATCTTAACATAAAAGTAGTAATTCTATTTTCCAGAGGGATCTCCTGACTTCCTGGATATTCCCGCATTCTAGGTAACAACAGGAAAACCATTGACTACTGCAGAGACTTTTCTTGGCCAACATTTCATCAGAAAATTGAGAAACATAGGTCGAGGATTCATTGATCCAAGCCCTCATGAAAACTTTGGACAGTTAAATGCTTTCTTTTTGGTTCTCAGACTTGTAGGTGTGAAGTTATATTTCATTTTTATTTCATTTCACTGATCACTGAGTTTGATTAATGTGTTGCCTCTTCAATGAAACATATTCTCTTAAAAATTTAATGGCACATTTTGCAATATTTTATTTCATAATCTGTGCAATTTTGTATTTAAGAAATATACCTAAACCAAAGTCAAGAAATATTTTTACTCTATTCTTACTTTTTAAAATTTTAGTGTTTTAAAATAAGCCAATTCTAAATGTTTTTCTTTTGAGTCTTAGCTAATCAATTAACTCAAATCATTTAGTTTCTCTAATCTGGAAGGCCCTCAATATATTTAGTTTTTATATACCATATTTCTGGTCTCTGTCCTTTTACATATTGCAAAAGTTTTGGAATTAATCACAAGAGGAAACTTGTATATTCTTGGTTTTAAAGGAAATGTTTCTTGTACAATATTTTTGAGTTTACATAGATTTCTTCATTAGTTTTAAAGATATCCTTACTCATCTTTGTTAAGAATTTTTACCACTTATTAATGAGTTAAATATAACTGAATAATTTTTTAAAAAATTTTATTTTAAAGAGAGTAGTAAATGAGAGGAAAAAAAGAACAATAGCAGCATACCAGCATCATGAACAAAAACAAACCAAAGCAAGAACATTTAAAGTGATGCAGAACTTCAAGCCAAAATAGTACAGATTATCAGTGGTTGTTATATTACATATTGTAATTTTTTTCAGATGATAATATACATTTTTATCCTTAAATAATATGTGACAGTAACAATAATGATTTCTTACAATAGACCATCCTTACATTCTGTGTTAACTCTTCTTTCTCTTAATTTATTACACATATAAATACATTTCATTTATTTAGTATTTTGTTCAGGAATTTTGTCTTTGAGCTCCTAAGTAAGGTTGACCTTTACATTTTTTCTCTTATTAGCTATCAATTTTTTGAACATTCTTCATAACCCTTTTCCCAAAATATTGTGAAAGGAATTTAGGCAACCCTAAAAGAATATTACTGTGAATCACTATGTGTTTATTACCAAGTAACAATCATCACTTCATGACTTCTCTTGTTCCATTCACATTCTCTTTTTTTGTTACTAACACACTAGAGTATTGAAATAAATTCTGACAAAAATTTCATCTGTATTGTTTTATGTATCTTTAAATGATATATGCTTTATACAACTTCAATATCATATTGAGCCTCCAAAATATAAAACTGTATTTATATGACCACTTTAACTAAATAATCTTACTGCTAGCATTTTCTTATTTGTTTATTCAAACCAGAAATTAAATATATTCCACATATTAGATTTGGCAGATATTTTCTGAGATTTTGAGTGATATTTTCTTAATTCACTGTTGAGAAAGAAGTGTCATTTGTCTGGTAAGATTTCACCCTTTCTGGACATTGCTGTTTTATCCTTTTGCTATAAAACATAAAACTTGCTTTCATCTTATGTATCTCCTGGAGATTGTTACCTAAATATTGATCAGTGGTTCTCATGAATAATTAATTATTTTTCATCTCAGAACATTTTTACAAACATAGGAATATTCAGGAACCCAAAGAATTATTGTTAATGCAGTTGTTGACATCTATAAGATACTAAAGCAGCAATTTAAAAATATTTACCAGCTCTATTGGTCATTTTTTAAAACATTTCAGAAAATTCTTGTATGTGAAACACTGAAGGATGTCCGTCAGCCCATTTTTCAAGTAAAATTGTATTACACAAAAGCAGTGAATTACAGCTCAGTGTATGCCATTGTTTTCCTCATAAAATCCACTGGATTTTAAGCTGGAGACTTCTCACTTAGTCATACACATTTTTAAAGTATACAGGTTCAAGGGATGAGACTTACTAATATTCATTATCTTTACCGTTTCATCCACTTCTGCATATCCTCAGTCATGAGTGTTTTTGGCCCAGTGGAGCTGCATCAGTGTCCTGAGTTGACTCAAAACTTCTACCTTTCACGGTCATTTTAACTATGGGACAGACTCATAAGTCACGTGGTGAGAGAGGTGATAGTGTGGATGAGGACACAATGTGGTTTTCACAATCCTGCCTTTGCATTGGATGATACTCAGTAGCAGCATTTACTGTATTTTTGATAACATATCTTAAAGATATATAGAGAGCCCTTCCTGGTCCTTGCTGTGATCTGGGAAGTTTATATATGTAATTGCAAAGAAAAGTTATTGGAATCTTAGTGACTTAATTCTGATTTACCACTTCCAGTGAAACCATGGCGAGAATAAAGACACTAAGGCATTTGTAGTTATGTGGAGTCAAGGAGTCCTAAGTCCAGCTACAATGATGGCTAACTGGTACAAGAGGCCTTGACCCAGGCCCAAACCCTGATTTTATTAATTCTTGAAGAAGGGAGCAGCTTGAGGATGGGTGACTGTGAGAATGGCAGGAAGTCGGTGAGTGCTGTGATCTGGGCTAGGGAGCAGGCCTGACATCACCTCTGCAAAATGCAGAGAGAAGGATATGCAGAAAGGTAATCTCCATAACACAGTTGAGGTAGTATGTGACGTTTTGGGGTCAGCGCTTCAGCTTTATGCTCTGTGTCTTAGGTACTTTTCTCCCCTTGCTGAGAAAAAATACCTGACAACCAAAATTAAGAACGGAAAGGCTTATTTTTCTCAAAGTTTGAGGAGATTTCAGTGCATATTTGGCTGGCTCCAAGGCAGAGTGGCACGTGGCAGAGGGCAACAGTTCATGGTGGTGGAAAACAGCAAAAGCAACAAGAGGAAAGGGGAGGAACAGCAGCTGGAAGAGCAAGCCTCTCTCTCCCTTATGTTGTACGCAAGCTACCCACCTCAGGGTGGATGGACCCCTCACACCCATAATCCTAGCATTAGATCACAGATCAGTCATAAACTGTAGAAGCCCACACCCATGACTGCAGGCGGCTTTATGGGGACATCCAGCACAACAAATAACACCCCGGGAAGTCATAACTTCTTATTTTGAGGCTTGATCCCAGCTGACAGCATGGAGCACGTCCTCTGCCCTGTCTCAGCTTACACGTGCTTTATTTGGGAGCTATGGGGGTGTGGAGAAACACTGCCATATCATTTTTGCTTCAAAGACTGCGCCTTGGCTGGACTGCTATGAATTGCTTAATGCCAGTTTAAGGGATAAGGAAAAGTCCTAGCCAACTCTGTACATATGAGTACATGGAAATAGTGCCAGGTTTAGCTAAAATAGAGACAATTTCTCTTCTTTCAAGAAGAGTCATCCAGATGGTCCTCCATAAGGACATTAATGAAAGACTACCAGAATCTCCCCAGAAAATTTCAAGAATGATGGGATAAGTGTGCGCGAAGCAAGGAAGAGTATTTTAAGGGGGATTAATGACAGTGTATCTTTTACTGGAACAAAATTTTTAATTTAAACATTCACCATAGTTCTTGGCCACCCGTATGATTTCTGTCTTCAGCTGTGTTGCTTTTGAGCCTGGCTGTACTCTTAACGCACAAAATCCCTTCAAGTTCCTTCAGTTCTTAATACAAATTTGAAGCAGTAACTTCTAAGTGTTACTTCTTCCCTTGGATTGCATTCAGTAGTATCCCTCAAGAAATACTTCCAATTTCTGGCCAGTAAAATTTTCATTTAATAATTTTCCTTAGATATTATTGGGCTGGTTTTTAAACTGCATAGGTACACCTGGAAAAGACAGTTCTTCCAACCCTAATCCAAAGCATACTGCCAATATTTATTTTTCTTGATATCCAAGGCCACAGTATTTTCACATTTGGAACATCACAATTAATGCCACAAGGCTGCCTTCATTCCCTTCAGTTTCTCAGAAGAAGGTGTCTGGTAGAGTGTGGGAAAAGTGCAAATTCTACCTGTTCCTGGAAACAGAGCTGACCTGCTAACGGGAAAGAGTCAACACCTGTGGTGACTCCCAGTCTTTGGCAGGAAAAATCTCCTCTCTTCAGTGGGAATCTCCTGGAATCTGCCAAGCCCCGTCCTGCTTATGAATTCCAGTTATTAATTTCATGCCCCTCCTTCAGAACCCCTTATAAAAGCCCAGTCTGCTGCCCTAACAATCATCAGATTCTTGCAAGAGGCAAGAGAGGTAAGTGGGAGCTGAAAGAAATGGAAGAAATGGAGAAGGTGAGGAAATGCCTCTGTCTCAGAGAACACAGGAGCTGAGACTTAGCAGAGCCTACCCTGGGAGCTGTCATGAGATGTAGGGAATATAGATTTCCCAAGTGCTTTCAAATTACAGGAGGGGTTGGTAGGTTCAAGAACACTGCATCGCTATCGAACTAGACACAGGAGAAGAAAGTAGGGGGCAATGCTGTCTCTGCATGCCTCTTCTCCGACCATATTAACTTCTAGACTGATTGTTTGCTTGACCACAGACATCGTGCTGCCTTCCATGGCTCTCAACATCGTGTCCTGGATGCTGCTGTCCTGCCTGATGCTCCTATGTCAGGTTCAAGGTAAGTTTTCTGTGCCTCTGACACAGGGTTCCCTATGAGTGTCACAGCCAAAAAGGGGAGGAAAGGGGCCAGTGTTTTTCCTGTGGTAACGTCGACATCCTCCACACAAGGAAACTACCTGTGAATCCTCCAACATTCTGCCTTTTTTGTGGTTACCATTAACGGGGTGATGCCACAATGGTCCAAGCCCAGAATGAGATGATTTCCCACTTTGTCAGGAACCTGTATTTCATATTCAAGACAGAAAATGTGAAAGTTCAGTAATGAAAGTAAGGAAGGGCAAGGATTGAAGGACCAAAGGTAAGCCTATCAGCCCAGAGTTGCAGGGGGGTGAGAACATGAAATAATCAGTGAGGGAGAAATTCAAAATAAAAACAGTTGCTACCCATATAGGAGGTCTATTGTTTTTGTTTGTTTTTTTGTCTTTTTGAGACAGGATCTCACTATGGAGTTTAGGGTGGTCTTGAGCTCACTTTGTAACCCAGGCTGGTCTGGAACTCACAGTAATCCTCCTGCCTCAGCCTCCTGAGTGTTGGGATTACAGGCGTGTGCCACCATGCCTGGCAAAGGAGGTCTATTTTGAATTAAAAATAATTCCTCTAACTGTGGAAAAAGGAGGTAGAAATTCAGGATTACATACTTCATACCCAAGGTCTTATAATTATTCCCAGGGTTACCTACATTTCACTCATCCCTCTTTTCATACTTCCCCTCAAAAGGTGAAGATTCCCAGAAGGAACTGCCCTCTCCACGCATCAGCTGTCCCAAAGGTTCCAAAGTCTATGGCTCCTACTGCTATGCCCTGTTTTGGACACCAAAATCCTGGAATGATGATGTGAGTGTTTATTTGTGGGGTTGTGGATGACAGGAAAGGATGAAGGGTTCTCCAAGGCTTCTTGGGGAAGAACATGAAGACCCTTGATTTTCATATAAGGTCTCCACTTGAGTATTTCTGCCCTGTTTTTCCCCACTGAGATCTCATGCTTCCTGTCATTCTCTCCTCACATGCAGCTGACCTGCCAGAATCGACCCTCAGGACACCTTGCATCTGTGCTCAGTGAGGCTGAGGCATCCTTCCTGTCCTCACTGGTCAGGAGCAGTGGGAGCTCTTACCCGTACATCTGGATTGGGCTGCATGACCCCACACTGGTGTGAATCCATCTTCTCCTTCATGTTATATATCAAGTATCTTTGTTGCTTGGGCCCCCTCTCCTGTGGAAGCCCAGAGACAATGCCAGGGGAGGTAGACCTCAGATTTTAGGTGACATGGGAAATCCTTGAGATCCACTAAAGAGCTGAGGTCTGTGAAGTCCCTCACCTTCACAGACCTTCACATTAATTTACTCCACCTGTTTTCAAGTATTTCTCAATCCTCACATGAATCCTTGGAAAAAATTTGTCTGAGTTTCAAACAAAGTCACATATTCGGGGACCCTAAATGAAAATAAATTCCATATTTGCTCTTTATGTAATAGACATTACTTTGAATTTCAGAGGCTAATCACATATACGCCACAAATTATGTTCAGCAAGCAATATATTACTCTGAGTGTGTCCAACACTTTTCTGATAAATGACTGGTATTTGCTAATGGGAAAGAGGAATTCAAAGAGAAAGTTTATTAGAGGGATCTGGGCAACATATGGAGAAGCAGACAAGATTCCATGAGGCTGGGGAGGAGATTTGTTGTTCTAGAAAAGGGATCATGCAGTCAGACATGTAGGGAATGTTCCTTTCACCTGGCTATATCTTGTACTCCATAGGGTCTAGAACCCAATGCAGGTGGATGGGAGTGGAGTAGCACTGATGTGCTAGATTACTTCAACTGGGACAGGAATCCTTCCTCCGCCTCTGACCGTGGTTACTGTGGGAGCGTGTCACAAACTTCTGGTAAAAAACCCTGGAGAAACCTCTGCCCCACCTTCCCCATCTCTTCTCCCTATTCCTGGGCCTGACCTTTCAGGAATCCTGTTGAAATAGGAAATTCATTGGCAGCTTCTATTCTCCCATCTGTTCTTATTCCTGTCTTCGCATCTTCTTCTCTTGGTCTGTGACACTGGTAAAGATGCAAGAGATGCTTTAAAGCCTGTACTACACTCTATGGTGCCTTTTCTTTGGAGTCACATGATTCACCAGACCCGTTTCCTTTACCTTTTCTTTCTCTCCAGGATTTCTGAAGTGGAGAGATTATAACTGCGATGCACAGTTACCCTACATCTGCAAGTTCAAGGCCTAGGGTGGGTAGTCAGCAATCTGAAGTTGTGTGTTACTCATCACCAACAAAAGAGACTGAGTGTTAAGACTCACCCGAGCAGAAAACATTCGCCCCTCACCCTCAATGCGATCCTTCCTTATGGCCTCATCTCTACTGCTTTTCTCCTCACCCTCATTTTAGATTCTTCTGTGTTGTGTGATGTCTCAGACAGCAACAATAAACATTTTTATTTTATATTTGTATGCTTTTATGTTCTCTCTCTAAATGGTCTAAATATACCAATTAAATGGAAGGGATTACCAGACTGAATTATTTTTAAGTGGGCTATGGATAACCTTCACAAAATGACAAAAAGGTTAATTCTCCAAGAAGATGTGAAAACACTCAACAAGTATGCACTTAACAAGCGAGCTTCAAACGTAAGAGAAAACAACTTACAGATAGAAAATCTATTGTATAGATGTTCTTTGAATTGTAGTGGGGTTGTTGAAAGTACACTGCAAGATGATGATGTCTTAAGTCAGAAAATTACATCTAACTTACAAATATCACAGCAGGGAAGCAGAGAACCCTAGCATATCAATTGTTTACCAACTGTTATTTGCAGCTGATGGAACACAGATTGCTGGGGCTGCTCAATATTATGAAGAGTGTCATGGAGAAGTCCAAGAAAAGATTAAAATTAAAATTTTAGATAAAATATCTAATGGATCTATATATTTAACCATCATAAAGTTAAAAAATTATAAACTGAGCCATAGTAAGTTGGTTAACCACCTGTACTTAAATACTTAACACCTCTGTTTTAGATAGATCAAGCAAGCAGAAAATCAGGAAGATTATGGTTGACCTGAAGAGTGATATCAGTCATCTTAATCTAGTTGGCATTTAGACAGTACTCCATACAACACAATGAACTGTCTCTTAAAGTTTAAATGAAACATTCACAGGAACGTGGACCATGTAAGGAAAGCTGCAAGGAGGGAGCATTGGAAATATTACACAGACCTGCCACATTCTGGAATGCAAAGCATATCTGAATAAATTTAAAAGAGTAGAAATCATATAAAGTATTTAATAAAATTAAAATGAAATTAAACTAGAAATAAGAAACATAGCAATGAGATCCCAAAAGATTTGGAGATTAAACAACTGTCTTGGTTACTTTTCTCTCGTTGCTGAGACAAAATACCTGATGTCCAAAATTAAGGAAGAAAAGGTTTATGTTTGTGTTTATGTTGAAGAAAAGGCTTACAGTTTGTGGAGGTTTCAGTCTGTACTTGGCTGGCTCCAAGGCAGAGTAGCACATGGCAGAGGGCAATCGTTCATAGCGGTGGAAAACAGCAAAAACAACAAATGAAAAGGAATGAGAACAAGCCTCTTTTTCTCTCTTATATTGTAAGCAGGCTACCCCCACTTAAGGAGCATGTAGCACTCACATAATCTCCATGCCCTCCTCCTGCACAGGCTCAGGATGAATACAAAGTAAGGATCCTGGCCCCCTGCTAAGTCACTTAGTTAACCTTCTAACCTTCTAAACTTGACACAAAGAATAAAATCCTAGAGCAGTAAGGGCACGTCCTTTTCACTCCAGGATGTAGAATTGTTTCAATTTGAGGAGTCACTTAGTTAAGCTTCTATACTCCTCAAATTGAAACAATGTATCACCCATAACAACAACATACTTCCACATAACACAGGGAGAAAAGAAGTCACAAGAGAACTTAAAAATAGTTTCAAAAAATGAAAGTGTAAATTACTTAAATTTATACAGTGAAGGCAATGCTTGGAGAAAAATTGATAACATTATGTGATTGTATTAGACAAGGAATGACCTAAACTCAACAATTCTTAGGAAATGAGAGAAAGAAAAGCATTTTATAAGTGCAAAGCAAGCAGAGAAGAAGTAAGAAGCATAGAAAACAATACAAAAAATAATAAAATAAAAAGCAATACTTTTACAAATCCAGTAGAATTTATGAATCTCCAGGAAGGCTGAACAAGAAAAAGGATTTTAATTACTAATAGCAGAAATTTAAGAGTGATTTCAGTAGACTAAAAAATGTCTTCTTCTCAAGAATGTCCATATCTTAGTTCTTGGAATTTGTGAATATGTTATTACCTTATATGGCAAAGAAGATTTTGCAGATGTGATTAATTCAGGGATATTGAAACATGCAGGTTATCAAGGGATAAGTTAGTGTAAGCACAGATCCTTTTGAGAACTTGTGATTATACAATCCTTGGTCCTTCTATACCCATACAGACTTATTGAACCCTCCACAATTTAATGCCTCAACAAGTCCAGAGTGCTCCTTCTTCTGACATAGTTGATAAAAATATCTGTCCCTTATAAAATTATAACTTCTTATTTCCTATCTCTAAAAGCTTCTCCTCCAGAATTCTTGGAAAAGAAGGTAGAACTGGCCCATTTTGTGTATTAGCCTCTAATGCTTACAATTTGTGCAAACCATTTTATATTATATCTTATATCTGAATTCTCCATAATTTCCACTTCCAGAGTATGTATGGTAATTGGGGTGCTGACACCTCGAAGGTGTTTGCCTGAACTGAGGCGTAAGCTTCTGTCATATTAGCTTAGTTAAGCTTATTTTCAGATTACACACTCAAGCCAAAGGGAAGGCTTTGGAAGGACACGGGTCTATCTCAAGATTAAAGAATATTGCTAAGACTCTTGAGGGACTAGGAAGAAAAAAAGAATAAAGTCATAAAGCAAGGTTACTCTTTCCTTTCTGTTCTGTTTTTTCTCTATTTATTTCATGGAACAGGGTCATACTCTTTCAACTAATCAGTTTACTTGCCTTGGCGTATACATATAGTGATCAAACACAGCCAACTCATTAGAGTTCTGGCTAACGTTTCACTCCAAGAACTCAAAACTTTTTCATCTTAGTAAACAAGTTCCATTTCAAGAGGCTGTATAACTGTTGGTCCAGCCACAATTGGGCATTTTCTTCAATCCAGTCCAATGGGGCCAGAAATTTTAGTTACCTGGTATTATCATGAGTGTTCTTCCTTCCTCCTGAGGAGAGCCTATTGGTGAGATCCTTTTCTTTTCTTTTCTTTTCTTTTCTTTTCTTTTCTTTTCTTTTCTTTTCTTTTTTCTTTTCTTTTCTTTTCTTTTCTTTTCTTTTCTTTCTTTCTTTCTTTCTTTCTTTCTTTCTCTCTCTCTTTCTTTCTCTCTTTCTTTCTTTTCTTTTCTTTTTTTTGTCTTTTTGAGACAGGGTCTTGCTATGCAGTTCAGGCTGAACTTGAGCTCAGTTTGTAGCCCAGGCTGGCCTTGAACTCACAATGTGAAATCCATTTCTTAAAGAAGAGGAATGGGAAATCTCTGTTGAGATTTTTTTCTTTTCAGTCAGCCTGTTATGCTGATCTTGGCTTACTTTCTGACTTATATGTCGTTTTTGGACACTAATATATTTTCCTAGGTATCATATTTGCTTCTGACCTTGAACCAACCTCAGCACTCCTAGGAGTTATACAGCTGTCTTTGAGCTTACTATTCTCATCATACTTACCTAATAGTTATCCATTTCCAAACAATGCATTTAACCTGTTGTGGTTTAAATTTCTATTTGTTACTCTTTGTGAGCCAGTGAACCAGAAAAACATTTTCTGGCCTACATCATTAGATCCTCATAGGCTCTTGGGCCACTAGAGTTTCCCTCTGTCAGTGACTGTCCTCGCTGCACTATATAGCAACAGTAGGTTCCCAAGACGTCACTTGAATCAAATGACTCTATTTCCTAGCATCCCTAAATGTAGGATGACAGTGCAGCCCTTTTGTATTAAACATTTTTTTTTTTTTTTTGGGTACCAGGAATTGAACTCATAACCTCACACTTGTAAACATTCTTTCTTTACCTCCATATCTACTACCATCCAGCCATGTTTGCCCATTAATCTTAGTGGCTTTTAAAGCATACGTCTAGGAGGCCATCATCCACTGTGTAGATCTCTGCTGTAATCTATGTGTATAGATTAACATTTGGACTTATTTATGAATTTCCTTTTCACACCTCAAGCAGAATTCTATGTAATGTCATCCTTTGGAATAATCTGGGTTTTTTTGTTTTTTTTTTTTTTTTTGAGCTGCTTATAGATTTCATCTTGCTGAATGTGTATATTTTAGAAATATTTCTTTTATGGTTAAACTTAAGAAACACTAAATGATGAAAATTTATCCAGATTTCTTTACCCTACAGCTTCTCCAAGTCATTGAATGCAAATGTATTACACAATAAAAAAAAGTAGTATGGCTTTGCAGGTCATTAAGTACTTGATTACAACAGGCATTTTGTATGTACATCTATCTTTTCCTTAATTGAGAAAATATCTGTTAATAGATCACCAGGTTAATACAATTTAAAATGTATTGGTCATTGAAATTAAATCAATTTAATGAGTATAACTAACATAATTTTTTAAAACATAGAAAATACCTCAATATATTGAACACATTTAGAGAAATACTACTTCATATGACCTTTTTGTTATTATATGTGGATGCGTGAATGGTGCTGATATAAAATACATTCCTTGTTTTGAATAGCAGTCAAACTTTTGGTCTCGAAATACTTGGCCATTGGTCTAAAGCATCTACCTTTAAGTAACTACAGGCAGCTTAAAGAAGTTACCACTAGAGGGAGTATTGTCACAGGGTATAATCCTAGGGCCAACGAGAGGAGTTGGCTGCTTCCAAGAACACAGAGTTAGAAAAAGGATATTAGGAGAATAAAGTTACCTAATCTAAGATAAAATGCGTGCTACAACACAGTCCATAAAACTGTAGAGGCAGATCTTTTAAAGAAAAACTCACAGTATATAAATTACAGAGGGGTCTGAACTCAGTAGTTCATCTTTTCTCTTAGTTCACTGCAGAGCCAGGAGTGACTGCAGAAAGCGATTTGCAAGATTAAGTGAATAACTTAGAACCGTACACCTACAGAAACTGAATCTTGTTCGCTCCTTCTCTTGGCTACTCAGGAAAACATTTCTTA